ATTCCCGTCTTTTAACTCTCACATGTAGTCCATCTCGTTCTCCCCAGCTATAAGGAATTATGACTGTTTTGTTTGTCATAATCTGAAAGAAGTGTGACCCATTGTACACATTGTACAGTGTTTTTCTCAAGCTTGACCCTATGGTGGACAACGCAACTCGCATATGGTCAACCTCGACTCCTTTGAGAAATGGAGTCTCGTTCATCTAGCAGCATAATCGTTCCCTCTTTCCGAAGTAGCACAATGTTTGCGGTGTCAATGACGTCTGTTCCCAGAATGATGTCAGGGCCCGTGTAAATGTTGTCTGGAACCACCTGCGTTCTCACAGCCATGAAAAAGTTGCTGTCTACTTCAAGGTCGGCTTGGATCTCCCCTAAGGTTTTGCATGTTCCGCCTTCGCCACTTACTTGTTCCTTTCGGCTAGGAACTGCTACTTTTTTTGCCTAGCTGGGCGGCAAGTTTCGTCTTGATCAGGCTGATGCGCGCACCGGTGTCAAGAAGAGCAGCTGTTGGTTCTCCGTTAATGTTCACTGATATGAATGCTTGCGACGACCCACAAACTTTGTGCCGGTCTTTATCCTTGACCACTTGTAGTGCATTTTCTTTTCACTCATGACTATTATTTGTACTGAGTCCTTGCTCCCCACAGCGAGTGCGCATTTTCTCCCATTGTGAATCCGGGCAATCTCGTGCAATGTGGCCAAATTTCTGACAATTGAAACATTTCGGCCCCTTATTCTAGGCATAGTTGGAATCGTCATCCTCAGCTCGTGACAACTTGGCTTTCGAAGTTTTGCCGTGGCCTCACGTCTTGTTGTTTTCGGTCCAACAGGAATCTTGCGTCGCGATTCTTCTGGAAATGGTCATAGCTGTTAATATCACGTAAAAGGTCATCAATAAAAAGGAGAGATCGATTCCGCATAGCATAGTTGAGTTCGCTAAATGCTAGTCCCGTGATAATCTCCGCCTTCATCTCCTCTAAATTTAGTCCCAGGCAAATGCAAAGCTTTTCTTTGTCGTGAACATAGGTTTCGTGGTGTTCTCCCTTCTGTTGCACTCGGCGTTCTATGATTCTGCACTGTTGAGTTTTCGATGGTAGGCAGACGTAAGCGTCCCGAAAAGCGGCTTCCAGGATGGCCAAGTCTTGCAAGCTTCGCCCGAGAATTGCAGCCAGTGACGCACCGGTCCTGATAGCTTCAATTTGGCCACGGTTATATTTATTTTTATCGGCCCACCTTCCTAACTCAGTGATGTGGATAAACTCGGTAATCCACTCGTTTTGCCACGATGTCACCATCACTTGCGGTGAACTTGGGAATCGCAGTTAACGCATCCGGAGTTAAACGCATGGAGATATCCGACGATGTCGGTCGACTCAACTGCGTCAATGGCAGGCGCTCAAGATCTTGATTTCGTCGTAGCGCTCGTGCCATATCATCTTTATCACGTCTGCATTGACCTTGCCTGTTGAGTCAAACTTTTTGTTTTTGCTTCCCATTGCATGGTCACAGACACGGTGTAGGAAGGCTCTTCAGGTGTGGAGACTCCTCTCCTCGCCCCGTCGGAACGGCGAACAGATCACGTCCCCTCCTTTCCTATGTTTTCTCCGCCTGCCCCTAGAGGGCGCCACAACGTTCAGGCCGACCGGCCGCCGGCCCTCCGCCGGAACGTGGGCTAAGTTACCCATTGCTTACGCCCCCTCTAATTCTTTACAACTTATTTTTTTTTTTTTTTGCAACGGTGAACTGAGCATAAAAGAAATATAAAAACCAAAGATCCGAATTTGGAAATAGCGAAACATCTGAATGTATGCGCCGACTGCTCTACAGCCTGGGGAAACGTACCCATTTTAGGAAAAGAAAACAACGACATGAAAATATTAGTAAAAGAGACGATCAGGATAAAGACGTCTGCCGAATGCATCAGTCACATGCTCAGTTGTTGTTCTCTCCGAATTGAAGGCGCCTTGTAGGGGATTACCTTGCAAACGGTAGACGCAGACACGACTTCAGGGTCGAATTCTGTCTGCCGTTCTCGTGAAATGCAGATGCCTCCATGGAAGGCAGACGCTTCTCCGGTTTCGGTAGAACGTGCAAAAGGGTTCGGATCGCATGAGAAGGCGACAGTACTGCAAAGGAAAAAACCGAGATGCAAAGAAACAGCCTCGAGAAAAGAAGAAAGAGTCCCGACTGTGCGACTCGTAATGTGGAAAAAAAACTCCTAGAGCATTTATAGAGTGTGTCATACATTAAACAATATTTTAACAGCGTTTTTTACAGCATATTTTTACAGCGATCTTTTTCATTTCTTATTGAAGTTTGTGATGATATTATATTTATTATACTTATATCAGAAGTGCCATTAATAAAACCGGTTTGCTTTCCTTGACGAGTGTGGCTAATATAAACTTTTGCTGCAATCTGCTACATGCAAATGTTAGTGTACTAACCAAGTGAACCTTTTAATGAATGCTGCTTTCATTAACCTCTGCGTGCAAAATGTGTAACTTCGTGCCAATTCGGCCAGCAGTTCAATTTAGCAGGACGCAAAGGCTGCCTTAAAATGTAAAAGAATAATCACGTTAGCTGCCCCACATGTTGAAAACAAATTTGTTTTTTAATATTTGAGTCGAATCAACGAGAATTGGCGAACGCTATATATATATATATATATATATATATATATATATATATATATATATCAGTCAGAGGCACGAATGCACCTATGAGAAGTGCAAGTTGTTGGGATTTTTCTGGGCATGAATGGTTTAGCGATAGTAGAACGCGCACAGAAACACGACGAACACTTTGACGTTGCGGTCTGACTTTCTTCGATTGGCCCCATCATTTCGTAGCGTCGGCTACGTGTTCGGAGTTAAACGAAGTAAAGCTGTACAATTGTATCACACTTAAAAAAAAAGAACCCTGAGGATAAGTTTGCGGGAAAGAGAGCATAAAAGCTGCAAGAAGCAAAAGTATGCAAGCGATCTGGTTAGGACACAGGATAATCCAAACCCAGAGACAAGGACAAATAAATTGCATCAGAATTAATTGGGGGGCTAGTTGGTTGAACATCTAGACGGTGGTTTTAAAAGCGCAAAGGACTAAGAAGAGAAGGAGGGACAGGACAGAGCGCTCTGACCTGTCCCCTCCTTCTCTTCTTAGTCCTTTGCGCTTTTTAAAACCACCGTCTAGAGTAGGACAAATAAAATAACGGACAACGCGTACACCTCTTGGCCGTTATTTTATGTTTCGGTGCCTGGGGGTTTAGATTACGACAAATAAGCTGTTTCAAAATTTTCAACTGAAAAGGTTCTGCCCATGTGAACAAATAAAAGTCACATTCTAACTAGTCAGATGGCTGATCCTGAATACTGGAAGCTCCAATTCGGTGCGTTGCTAATTTATGGCCCACGAGAAGGATCCTAAGTGCGTTATTAATGCCAATGCATTAACTGTCCTATGGGGTGAACCGGCGTTGTCAGCTCTGAAGCCGCTCCAAACGGCACCTAAATTCCCCTGTCCCGTGGAGTGAAGCCTGTAGTCTGTAGCAGCCACCCCATTTGCTTGCGCGTGGCGTAGTTTCAAGGAACGCCACCCACAGAGAAGCCCTCTTTTCGCAGCAACGGCCATGGGGCGTGGCTGTTGCGGCGCAGAAGAAAGCAAAAATCCAACGAGAACACATTTGTAGAGGCTAAACAAAATCTTTCACACTCTGCAGGAGGTTAACTCAGCATTAATGCAAACTGATTAGGTTTCATGGAATATTAGAAATGCGCACGTATAGGTCTGATCGGTTTCAAAGCATTGGTCACTGCGAATGCTGGCAACATTATAAATATTACGAAAAAATAAAATTTCTCTTCGCAGATTGTGAACGATTTTGTTGAGCCTCCAAATATTTTTTCCCGTTAGATTTTGTTTGTGTGCTTTGGTTTCTGTGCCCTCAACTGCCACGTCCCATGCGCAAGCGTTCTTGGTTTATATGGCCATTAGCTCATAAACTGTGCAAACTATAATGAAATAACATTGTATTGTACTATGGAGTCTCGTCTAATTTTGAGGTTGAGATCGTTATTGTGATACGCAAAACTTCATGACAGGGGCGCTGAATAAATGTGACTCTTTGGTACACTTCAATATCATCGCGGTCTTGCACGTCTATTCTTTTGTAAATATAAAATCTATTATACGCAGAAAACGGCAATTTTTTTCAAAAGGGGAAAAAAAAAAACGTGTCTGGCAATGGCATCAATCAAAGGTAGAGAATAAATGTTTTTCATTAAAAAATAGCGTCAAACCTTTTGAGGATCAGGTCTCTAGCTGAATCAGTAGCTGATAGCTGACCTGCGGAAAATAACTGCGGCTAGACAAAACAAAGGAAAGCTGCAGAGAAGTGCAACTGAAATAATTACGGCGATGTCCCGTTAATATGATCACCTTTCCCCTTCTCCTTCCCCCTGAACTTGTCTATAGTGGGGGTAGTCTATAATAACGAGACAAGAATGCATGCATTTATTCAATGCGTCCAAAAAAAACTTGGCTAAAAGCAGTGCATTCATAGTAACGCGTTCCGTATCATCGAAACATGACTGCGTAGTACTGAAGCTATCTAACATAACGGATTACATGCACTGCAGAACAATGTAAAACGGCAGAAAACCGTAACTGCAATAGATACGCACATTTCAAGCAGCAGCCTGGAATTAAGACGCTATCCGATTCCCGGAAATACAGCGCCCAACTCGACAGACCTCCTCGACAATACGTCTTCTTGCCCCCCGATTGCGTAACCATCTGCGATTTCCAATCTCCAATCTGCCCGCAAAACGAACGAGACGGCCGATCCTGGATTCAAGCGACGATATCAAGAGATAGCTGAACGTCGACGGCCACCGCATCGATACCCAGTTATCAGCGGATTATTGCTCGCGCTGCTGGCAGACAGCGCATCGAGAGAGCCTATCCTCGGAATCTCTGAGCTATAAAAGCGGCAGTCGCTGAACAACTCTTCGCAGACCAGCGGATTGCATCGCCACGAAAACTAAGTTTTCAATTTTTGTGGGTAAGATTTCATATTCACTCGCTTACTATTTGTAAGTGCGCGGGTGTGCATTTCACTGGTCTGCTTTTTGCTTTTTTTTTTTTTGCTTTTTGTTTGGTGCTTTCACGAAAATGGCTCAAAAAAGTGACTGTCTCTCTTGCCTGAAAAAAATTGGACATGATGCTGCATGTATTAAGTGTTCGGAGTGCACAAATTATTACCACATGGGCAAGTGTTCTGGAATGACAAAAACTGTAGTGAAGTCAATGAACGACGTAGAAATTTCTGAATGGCAATGTAACACCTGCAGGTTGCATTCCCAACGACAGTCTGCGACTCCCGAGGTATCTCAAGGGGCGTCAGAGCTGACCCCAAATGAGGAAAAACTTGAAAGGTTACTCAAACAAAATGAATCTATCAGTGAAAAGTTGACTTCCGTCCTTAATAGGATGTTTTGCATTGAGAGGTCTCTCGAGGCGCAGACTGCGAGGTCCGACGCGATGATGCTCAAAATAGAAAATCAGAGTAAAACAATAGCAGGAATCGAGACAGCCACGAATGATCTGACAGCAAGGCATGAGGAATTGAACGTTCATTTGGATAACCAAGACAAAACAATTAATGAACTACAGCGGAAAATCGGTGAACTAGAGGGAAGGATTTCACAAAGGGATGAAGAGGTTGGAGAACTAAGAAAGGCTATCGACAATGCAGAGCTGTACTCTAGACGCCAGAATATTGAAATCCATGGTATAGTGCAACGACCGAATGAAGATGTCATGAGCGTAATCAACGCAGTGGCAACGAAGCTGGACCTAGCACCAGTGACTTCGAATGACAACGGGGCTGCCCGCAGGCTAAAAGCTAAAGAAGGAAGAATCACACCTATACTGGTGATATTCACCGAGCGGCGTACACTGGACTTGTGGGTGAGAAAACGAACTACTCTTAGAAATGAGAACATTTTTATAAATGAAAACTTGACTAGAGCGCTAAAAAGTTTGTTGTGGTCCACCAAGGCACGTGCGAAGGAAAAAGGGTACGTGTATACTTAGATGAGGAACGGAAAAATATTCGTAAGGCAGAAGGAGGGAGCGGCGGTGATTCAGATTGAGAGCGAAAGAGACTTAATCAAAATTAGGTAATCATGGAATCGCTTTTTGAATCGTTCCGTGAGTGGGACGGATATACGGAAAGTTCTAGAGCGGAAAGAAGTAACGCTGACACTAAACTAAGCTTAATTCATATAAATGTTAGGAGTATTTACAGACATTGGGATCAGTTAATGTTAATTTTATCTACGCGACTTCCAAGTTTGGATGTACTTATCTTGAGTGAGGCCAGTGCTGATGAGGCAGGTTGCGCTACATTTTCCTTGCCAGACTTTCATTTTTTCTGCTTGTGCCGAGAACAAAGGAAAGGTGGCGGAGTTATGATGTACATAAATGACAAATTCATCAGAAAAAAATAGATATTTCATTTGTACAAGCAGAAGTGTGTGCTGCTATTGTTCACAAAATGAATTTTTCTTATGTTGTGTGTGCCGTATACAGGCCACCGAGTTCAAATATACCTATATTCTGTGATGAATTGGAACAATTCCTTCACAAATTTAATAACAACAAGTACCTAGTTCTGGCAGGAGACTTCAATATTGATGTTCTGAATGAGAATAAACAAGGAGTACCGCGTTATCTTGATACCCTCGCTTCATTTGGTCTATAAAATGTCATTCAAAATTATACTAGGGAGGAATATTATTGTAATAAAATTACAAAATCATGTATTGACCACATTGTTATAAGAATTAGTAATTTGAAAACACTGTCTGGAGTCATTAAGCAAAAGGTAGCTGACCATTACATTACTGTACTCTCAATATTAGACGAAATTACTGCTGAAGATGTAGATTTAGAAAATGGGTACCAATTTATACTAGATACTAAAAAAATCGATAATTTAATACAATCGTTCGATTGGAACTCTTTATGCGAGTTCGATCATATTGTAGCCTATGACATACTAGTGGACACGTTTCAAGATATTTATTCTAAAGGTACTAGAAAAATAAAGTTGAAGAAACAAAGACCTGAGAATGTTTGGATAAACGAGAAAATATTAGAATTGTGTGATCACAAGGAAAGGCTTTGGAGCAGATGTAAGCCAAATCCCGAAACCACAGAACTAAGAAATGAATTTCGTGCAGTGCGCAATAAAGTGACACCAAAAATACGTTTAGAAAAAGGGAAACATTATTTAAATTAATTCACCTCTTCGAGAAGAAATATAAAAAAAGACATGGAAGTCTAAAAATAGCGTGGACGATACAATTAAAAACAAAACTTTCCTGGAATAGATTCATATTTAACGTTATCGGAATCATTTAATAAGTGTTTTGTTGACTCCGTAAGAAGCATAAAAAATAACATTTCACAGAATGGTCCCAATCCCGTCACTTCACAGGTCAGATGCTCTAGTTCGGCGCACTTACCTCAGATGACGAAGAGCGAAATTTTGAGGATTATAAATGCTATGCCAATAACTAAAACACCAGGATTTGATAATATTAAAGTACGAGATATTTGGTATAATTTAAAAAAATTAAAACACGTTTTAATGAAAATAATTAATGCCACCTTTCATACCGGAAGAATTCCTAAGGGCTTGAAGATAACTATTATACGTCCACTGTATAAAAAGGGGAAAAGACAAGAATTGGAGAGCTACAGGCCCATTTCCATTCTACCTGCATTAGCTCATATAATCAAAAAGTGGGTACAACTAGCAATGACCAATTTTTGTGATAAATTTAATTTATTTTCTAGTATGCAATATGGTTTTCGACAACAAAAAAAGTACTATTACACTTTTAGAAGATTTTTCTGACTGTGTTAATCAAGCACTAGACAATAACAAGATTGGCCTGGCACTTTTTAGAGATCTATCGAAGGCTTTTGGTACCATTGATCATTCTCTGTTACTTGAAAAGCTTTACAGATTGGGTTTCAGGGGACAGTTTTATAACTTTTTTTAAGAATTACTTTAACGACAGACAACAAATGGTTAAAATTATGAATAATATACGTAGTACAGCTAAAGTCGAATGTGGCGTACCACAATGTAGCACTGTTGGACCAATTTTATTTAATGTTTACATAAATGATTTGGGTATTTTATCTCTACAATCTAAGCTATTTCAGTATGCTGACGATGCGGTGCTAGGTTTACCCTATGAAAACTATGATAAGGCTGTTTTAGTCTTCCATAGAGATATAAATGAACTAATAGGTTGGTTTAACTCAAATGCCATTTCAGTAAATTTTGCCAAAACTAAGTTACTGTGTATCCGAAATTATCATAAACGTGTTGATATGTCACCTAGGATTTTACTGCATTCGACACCGTGTAATAATTTTACTTGTAAACCTTTGCCATACGATAATTGTGTAAAATATCTAGGATTATAAGTGAATAAACATTTATCATGGAATCAACATGTGGAATCTGTGACTAAAAGACTACGTGTCGTTTCAGCATATCTGTACAGAATAAGAAGCTTATGCAGCGTAAAGATAAGACTACTGGTGTACGGGTCGTTAGCTGAATCAATTCTACGATATGGAATCACATTATATGGTTACTGTTCTCCATACAAGACAAATGCATTAGACAGAATTTTAAAACATATGGTGAAAAACATTACATACGGAACTCCGTACGGAACGTTAGATATGGAAGATAAAGCAAAGAAGCTCCAAATTTTATTCTTTAAATATTTTCATAGATATGTTACGTTTATAAATTATTTCTACGATGCAACGTTCAAGGTTCCAGTGGACAAACCTAGGGACCTAAGGCGCAAAGAAAGGTTTAAATTCACCAGAATTTCCACTCGATACGGAAACAGATGCAGAGCTCACTTTATTCCCACCTTATATAATGAGCTCACTGAGTCCTTAATGAAAATAAATTCAATAAAAGTACTAAAAAAAGAAATAAAAAATTGGTTCCTCTCATTACCTCCATAAACACTGCTTTACTCCCATCACTGCATACTTGCCTCTTAATGATTTCGATAGTTGTGTTCATTTTGTTTTGTGCCGAATTGCGGCTCTGTTTTGTATTAATGTTGGTATCAATGGCCACATTGTACTCGTTCGATTTTTTATCTTGATGTATTGATATGTATTTCGCTGGATTGTTTGGTCCTACGCACAAGCAGGATACTGCTTTTGTAGGCCAGCATTATTTATATGTATTTGTAAAGGGAATAAAACACATTATTATTCTTATTATTATATCTCAATCTTCCAATGTATTTGACCTCATTCTCACTACAACCACTGAGCTTCTTTCTCCCTTAACTTATTTACCAGGTTTAAGCGACCATTGTGTTATTCAGTTTGACCTGCAGGCATCTGCTTCCTCATGTAAAGCACTTACGATTATTCGCGACTACAAAAATGCCGCTTTTGTTTCAATTAATAATGAATTAGACACGCTTCTAACCATTTACATCTCACGTTTTCAAACGGGAACGGTTGAAGCAAATTGGTCTCTCTTCAAACAAAAAGTGAGTGACCTAACTAACCACTACACTCCTCTGAAGCGCATCCGCTCTAAGTCACAGGCACCTTGGAAACAAAAAGGAACGGTTATTTCGGCGCGCAAAATTAACAAAAAGTGCTGAGCACTGGCACGCTTACAAAGCTGCTGATACGGATCATAAACAAGCTGTCGCACAATCAAAGCAGGAGTTTTATCAGTGTACACTTCTTTTTATTTTGAAAGATAACCCACGAACGTTTTGGAGCGTGGTCAGCGGTATTAGATCGAGTGCGGTTGAGCTTTGTGATGCGAATAATGTTCCTGTAGATCTAAACAATTTTTGCAATGTCCTGAACGATGTGTTTGCTTCTTATTTTTCCCACACGACTCCTACCTGTTATCCAATTTGTGATGTACCGGTAATTGGGAATAATGCAGGATATATTTATTTAACTGTTAGATAACATTCGGTTGAGAAGCGTCTTCTTCGGTCTGCGACCGCGCCCAGTCTGTTCTTTCCCAGGCGTCACGTTCTTCTCCGTGGCTCTCTCCGGTTACATCAGCCGACCGTTGCCTGGGCCGAAGGTCTTGCTCGCTTTGCGAGGCGAACACGCACACAATACACGGCACAATTGTTTTCAGCGCTAATTTTAGTCCTATGTTTCCTGTTTGTATTGATTGATTCGGTGTCGACTGTTAAATCCAGAAGCTTAAAATTTCCGCGTGTGCTGGGATTGACGGAATTAATTCAAAGTTCCTGAAGAGCACCCCCACCTATTCATTTTTCATTCATTTCGAAATTTTTTTTTCACAGGCCCATATCATTTACTAGTGTGCAGTGTGAATTACTTGAACATGTCATTTACTCTCACCTTGTTGCCTTTTTCGAGTCCAAATATTTTTTTACTAATTGTCAACACGGGTTCCGCAGATTGTTTTCTTGTGAAACACAGCTCGTATTGTTTACTAATGGCCTGTTAGTTGCTATTGTTGCCGGGCTAATAGTTGACTGCGTTTTCTTAGATTTTGCTAAGGCTTTCGACTCTGTCCCGCACAACCTACCTCTCTTGAAACTGAGTAAACTTAATATTCATCCTAACATCTTGGGCTGTATTAAATGTTTTTTTTTTTATCTAACCGCTCACAATATGCTTCTGTCAACGGGCATAATTCTTCTACTACTCCTGAACGTCCGGCGTACCACAGGGATCTGTCCTGGGGCCTTTCTTGTTCTAGTCTACATTACCGACCTCCCATCGAAAATTCTCTCCTCTATTAAATTGTTCGCGGATGATTGTGTGCTCTACCGCGTAATTACTAATGCCAAGAGTGTGCTATACTACAGTCAGACCTCGACGTAGTTTCTTCCTGGTGCGCTGTATCCCTAATGAAGCTTAACATTACTAAATGTAAAAGCATGCCTGTTTTCCAACTTTCTAAAAACATTGACCCTGCCATATACATCCTTAATAATACACCATTAGATACTGTTGCTGCATACAAATATCTTGGTATTCACATAACTCATAACCTTTCCTGGAACATGCACGTCGAATATTTCTTTAATAATCCTAATCGTATGCTTGGGTTTTTGCGCCGCCACTTCCGTTCCGCTAATCTTCCGGTCGAACTGGAATTATACAAAGCCTTAGTCAGGCCAAAACTTGAATACGCCGGTTCCGTTTGGGATCCGGGACATGGAACATTATCACAAATTCTCGAATCAGTCCAGAAGCGAGCAGCCCGTTTTATCCTTCCTAGTTATTCTCGTACTGCTAGTGTTTCGTCAATGAAGACAACTTCGGACTTACCTGACCTCGCTTTACGGCGTAAATACTTTCGTCTTTGTCTTTTCCCTAAAATATAATATACTAACCGAATTCTAAAAGATGAACTACACGGTGTCACAAAAGAAAATTTACACGGTCTTTTTTGCCGCAAAAATAACGTAGGCATCGCCGAACGCTCATTCTCCGCCCAAAGGTAGAGCTAGAGGTCACAACCAGATGCCAAAGTTTCAGCCCGATCCGATAACTTAATCAAAAGTTATAAGTGATTTTCTGAAAAGTTCAATGGGAAAATGGAGCCCATTTTCGCCCGTTTTCGTTTTCTGGTGCCATAGAGCCCCATGTGTTTGAAAACTCAGTCGGCCGCCATTTTTCCATTGAAGTTTTCAGAAAATCCCTTATAACATTTGATTAAGTTATCGGATCGGGCTGAAACTATGGCATCTGGTTGTGACGTCTAGCGCTACCTTTGGGCGAAGAATGAGCGTTCGGCGATGCCTAGTTTATTTTTGTGGTAAAACAGATGGTGTAAATTCATGTAGATAATCGCCTCTTCAATTTGAATGCTGGGCTTGTTATCGTGCTTGTCTTATGATTTCACTAATCGCCTATGCATTGTTCGTTCTTTTCCTGTCTGGTACGTACAAGGCTTCAGTTTGGCAGTCTAGTTTAGAATTATTTTAGAGCGCAGCTCTTAAGGGCCCGTTTCCGGCTTGAGCGGCGTCGGCGTCGCCGTCGCCGGCGGCGTAACCGCGCGGTGCATTATGGGTAAATTTCCCCGCTAAATCTAGCGGAAAAATTTCCCCGCTAGATTTAGCGGAAAAATTGCTCCGCTAAATCTAGCGTAAAACTTTACCCCGCTAGATTTAGCGGAAAAATTTCCCCGCTAAATCTAGCGGGAAAAATTTCCCCGCTAAAAGTAGCGAAAAAATTTCCCCGCTAGATTTAGCGGAAACATTTCCCCGCTAGATTTAGCGGAAAAAATTCCCCGCTAAATCTAGCGGAAAAATTTCCCCGCTAAATCTAGCGGGAAAAATTCCCCACCAAATGTAGCGGAAAAATTTCCCCGCTAAATCTAGCTGAAAAATTTCTCCGCTAAATCTAGCGGGAAAAATTCCCCGCTAAAACTAGCGGAAAAATTTTCCCGCTAAGTCTAGCGGAAAATATTCCCCGCTCAGTCCAGCGGAAAAATTTTTCTGGGGGGTGACGTGACCCCCCAAGGTTACATGACACCCCCCCCCCCCCCCCCGCCCCGCCCCGAGAACAGGCAACCCTCAGTACCCTTCCCTCCTCCTCAAGAGCTGCGCTCCAATTCGGTGTTACAGGGAGTTGTAAACGGCTTTCATTTTTTCAACTACTGACGCGGGACGTAATCAGTCCATGCCAATATGTTTTATTCTATTTATTTATGATAGGTATTTTAATAGATGTTATAATTACGAATACTCACTGAAAATTCTGCGTCCTTAATGTTTATCAACTCGGAGACTCTCTTGTAACTTGTTGTTTCTACACAAAATTATAGACGGAAAGTTTTACGTTGACTTGTGCTGTTTTAATTTTAAAGTACTAGCTCGGTTGTCCAGAACCCCTTCACCTCAAGAAGAAAAAGTCACCAATAATACGCATGCAAATGTTACTTAGCAATTTAGCGTCACCAAATTTAAATATTTTTGGTGAATTGGCCTCTTCAGGCATAAACATATGTTGCCTACTGTTTAAGGCGGCATTGTTACAATGCACTTTTTTTAGTTTTAGTGTACGTATGTGCACCACTTCAAAACCGTAAGGTTATTCTGGGGCACAGAGACAATAAAAGATTATTATATTTATTATTATTATTACTGTTGTATTTTTGTTTTTGTGTGTAGTCCCTGTAGTTTTCGGCGCTTTTATACATTTTAATTTAAATCAGTTGATCTTAATTACATACATTATATTAATCTCTACTTACAGCGCGAGTGAAACAGCTAGGCAATCGAAGAACCATGCGCAACTTTGTTGCCCTAATTTTGGCACTCTCTGGTAAGCATCTAGCTCAGCTCGCATCCGATGTCCGTGATTTACTCTCTACCCATGTTCCAGGTGTCTTTCTTTTCGACCAAGGGCATTCGTCTCATCAGGATATCTCTGAAAGCTCTGGAATCGCAGTGACAACTCCGGTGAACACCGAAGATGACATGAGTGCATCTCGTTCAAGAGGGGGTCATCTAACTTCCAAATACAATAGTCAGAACCTGGACCTAAATTCTGAAGCAATACGTTTCAGGGACAGGATGAACCGGACAAGGAGAAGCCCGGGAGATATTAGCGCTATATATGAAGTCTACACGAATCGGAAACGTAACGGAATTTCTGACTACTATAATCCAGCTATCATCGCAACACACGTGAACGACTTTCCCTCTATTGCGGCTCTTTTGGATCCCGACCAGAAGCTTTACCTGCTCGTCCACGGATGGCTTGGTTCGATTGCGTCCTTCTCAAGTATCTCAAGCTCTTCGTCTTCATCTGGCAAGGTCAAGGATGAGGAACTGGCAGACATTAAGGACGAGCTCCTTCGGGTGGTAAGTTAAAACCAACAATGCACGTACAATTTCGAAAATGTATAAGGCGGTTTCACACGACGTACTTCCGGCTCCAAATTACGCCGGACGATGAACTGTCGTATGTCTTTCTATGCGCCGAGGTGGTGTTTACACAATCTCGCTGTTTTTGCGTTATGATTGTTTGCGTTTGTTATAGTTGTCAGGAACGTAAAACAAGCGCTGGCTGGCACTTGACCTGTCTACATGCCAATTTTTATTTAAACATCGGACGAGCAAACGTTCGAGAAGTTTACTCCTCGATTGCCAAAATGGTCGCTACCGATTCCGCCGAGTCGACTCCGAATGTATAACTAAAACTGGGTAGACATTGCTTTCCGTGGTTCGAATTACGTCTCCCGTCGTATATACTGAGTTCCGTAATCGGCAGAGACACTCGCCATCCTTGCGCGTCTCGCCAATACCAAAAACAACGCCAATAACTAAGCGTCTGAATAAAAAAAAAATGGCGAGAGCGGTGGGCGCGGTTCATCAACATGGCGGAACACGGCTTACCGAAAGTATGGTACCTGGAACGCGTCTCCCACTGATGTGTTTACAGCGCCCCAAACAGTGGTCCCCCGATTTTCGACTCACCACGTCATGGAAGCGTCTTGCTGTCGCTGGTCGCGATCCTGGCGGCGTCCCAATAGCTGTGGTGCGGGTGGCAGACGTCTGTTCCGCTGCAGGTTGCTCTCCAGGGGCCCTAATCTGGACACTTGGCGGAAAAGTTGGCGAGAAATTCGGCGGCTATGATTGGCCGGTGCCAAGGTCAAGTGTGGCATTGGCCAATCGCTGCCGCCAGATTTCTCGCCGTCGTCTTCGCCAAGTGTCCAGCTTAGGGCCCCAGTATGGCAGTCCGCGGAAGCTTGGACAGTCCGAAATTGGGACGCCGCGACGACAGCTACACTCGCGGTCGCTCGTGCTTTTCGCTAGCATTTCTACGGCCAACCGCCAGAATAGCGACCACCGACAGCTCGACACTCAGGCGTCTGCGACGTCATTTGTTTGCCATTTCTGAACCACTTTTTGTTGTATGGGCGACATGAGACGCTAAACACACCAGTCAGAGACGCACTCCAGGTACCATACCAAAAGTGAAAGAGCGTTCCGTTGAACCGCCCTATATTTATTTTTAAGTATCCGCAGGCTTTTTAAACTACGGGACGCTTAGGAGGGGACGAGTTTCGACAAGCATGTTCCTCGCTAAGGTTTATTGTGGAACTGTTAGCTAAACTGAGCTTCCTTTTTTAAGGAACTTTATGATTTCTTTGTACTGATGGTGCAGCTGTAAGTTTTGTTTTGAGATGACAATTTGCGGAGCTTTTTAAAGTGTCTTGCTGAGATTTTGTCTTTGCGTACGATAACTCCTTGGCGCATCAGAAGGACGTCTCATGCTCGCATCAAAACTTGGCCTGGCGTAGAATCCGATAATCATAAACAAATGGTGGCTGTCTTCACTTTCTCGGACTGAAGTGTAAGTAGTAACGATGTCATATTGTTCAGATATAAAGATGACAATAAAACACACACACACACACACACACGCACTTGATGTTCGGGGACAATTAAAATAAATCAAAGCGAGAACTTAGCGATTCTTCGTGACCATTCCCGGAAAAACTTCACATTTCAAAGATTTTCTTACAGGTAGATTCCATGTGTGATATATATTGTATTTCTTTACGTAGCTAAGGTTATGTTTTATGCTTCTTAATCACATGTGTCAAGCGGAGGGTTTCATTGGACCTGAAAAGAAGTTTGCCGTAAAGGTCTAACCGTTCGTTTCACAACAATTGTAGGCGTGATCACAGGCGGAAATGATACAGTGAGTTCGCCGAAACAGTGTGAATCATGACGCATTCGCGATACTTCAAACAGCCGCTTCTTTGAGTTATTATCAAGATACACCCTAAGAATGCCCGAACGCCTAACATACCCCAGGGTACTCGAACAGCCAGTCACTGCGATCTACGTCGGGAGTTCCACGAATGACCTGAAAAAAATATATTTCCACCGAAATATGAAGTGTGAAGCTGAGCAACTCGAAACGCCCTTCGCAGTGTTTCATAGAAAACTTAATATTTAGTTACGTAACTTCGGCTTCAGCATTAGAGGTTTGAGGAAAGAGCCTCTCAAGTTAATGTGCGGGAAAGTACATGCACGGGCATCTTTAGGCGTATAAACTATTTTTTTTTTTTGTTATGAAGAGAGAAAACGCTTTCACATAAAAATAAGTCAGTAAAATATATATATATTTGTTTGCAGAACGCAGGAGAAAATTTGTTTTCCTGCTTTGTTGTATACTTCTAAGGGCCCCATTAAATGGCTAAGCTATATTGGCCCTCGACTCGCTAAACAGAAAGTTGAGGTTGACGTTTACGAAGCGAGCCGACTGGACGCTCACGAAGATTGCACCGCGCTTTTCTTCTCCGAAGTCCAATCCGCGCGCTGCGCAAACTTTCGGCTCCAACTTTGCGTTTGACGAGTCCAGAAACCAAGAATATGACTACACATGAAAAAAGCGTGGCGCGAACTGGGGCGATAAGCATGACTTCATTTGCAGATCTTCCCTGCGCCGTTCATATGTTAAGTGCGAAAGCACTTGTTTGGTCAGTTCCCCATGGAAAATTCTACTCTGTAACACGAAAGGAATCCACGTGGGCGGGTGCGTTGTAAGTGTGTAAATATAAAATCCAGAACACACCTTAAAGTTCCCCTACGGGTTTATAACTCAGGACCACAAGATGGAAAGCTTTAGAAGCGGTAGTCAGTAAAAGTTCGTCAACCGCAGCTTCGGTTGGTGAATATTTCGTTCTCCAAGTCGCACCGCGGAACATTAAGTGGCGCCAGCGGGTGGCTCGGACGTTTTCTCTCTCTGTACGTGGGCTCGTGCTGCCAAGGCGCAATCAAGCGGAAAGATCCCGCGCGCATTTCCGCCACTGTGCAAGGATTGCACAGCTTTCAACAAAGGGCCCACTCTCGAAGGAGATCATGGTATATATTACCACTCACAAATATCCGCAGAAACTAACTGGTATTTGTAGAGAAGAAGCGACATCAGGGGCCTCAGTTTCTGTTGTGACAAGTATGGAGTAAAGGTGCTTAACGACGAAAAAATGAAACCACTGAAAACATTATACATATTAATAGAGCGCGTCGAAAAATACAAATATCTGAAGGTATTGCACAGTGAGTGAAGCAAATATCTAGAGAAAGATAAAGTAAATATAATTATGAAAGAGAAAAGTGAAAGCTGCTTACAACTCCCTGTAACGCCGAATTAGAGCGCAGCTCTTGAGGAGGAGGAGGGAAGGGCACTGGGGGGGGGGGTTAAACTAACCAGGGGGGGTCACGTGATCTTGGGGGGTCACGTGACCTTGGGGGTCACGTGACCCCCAATGCCGATGATGTCATCACTGACGTCATCAGTGACGATGACGATGCGGGTACCGATGACGTCATTAGTGACGTCACTGAAGACTTCACCAGTGATGACGATGACGATGCGAATGTCGGTGACGTCATCAGTGACGTCGCTGATGACGTCATCAGTGATGATTACGATGACGATGCGGATGTCGGTAACGTCATCAGCGATGATGACGATGACGATGCGGATGCCGGTGACGTCATCAGTGATGATGACGATGACGATGCGGATGCCGGTGACGTCATCAGTGACGATGACGATGTGGATGCCGGTGACGACATCAGTGACGTCACTGATGACGTCATCAGTGATGATGACGATGACGATGCGGATGTCGGTAACGTCATCAGTGATGATGACGATGACGATGCGGATGCCTGTGACGTCATCAGTGATGATGAAGATGGCGATGTGGATGCCGGTGACGTCATCAGTGATGATGACGATGTGGATGCCGGTGACGTCATCAGTGATGATGACGATGACGATGTGGATGTCGGTGACGTCATCAGTCGCGATGACGTCATTGGGGGGTCACGCGACATCGGCGGGGGTCACGTGACCTAAGGGGAGTCACGTGACTTCGGGGGGTCACGTGACCTCGGGGGGGGTCACGTGCCCCCCACGAGGTCACGTGGCCCCGGTGGGGGGGCTCGCGCGGTGCATTATGGGACATTTCCCATGATGCACCGGGGTCACGTGACCTCGGGGGGTCACGTGCCCCCCACGAGGTCACGTGACCCCGGTGGGGGGCTCGCGCGGTGCATTATGGGACATTTCCCATGATGCACCGGGGTCACGTGATCTTGGGGGGGTCACGTGCCCCCCCACGAGGTCACGTGACCCCGGTGGGGGGCTCGCGCGGTGCATTATGGGACATTTCCCATGATGCACCGCGCGGTTACGCCGACGCCGACGCCGACGCCGACGGCGACGCCGACGCCGACGGCGACGCCGCTCAAGCCGGAAACGGGCCCCTAAGAGCTGCGCTCTAAAATACGTTCAGTTTTCTCGAAACTCAATGCAGGAATTAGATACAAAGTGGTCAGGGGTATGTGGAAAGTTGTGATTGGCCTGGAGTTTCTTTTTTAAATGGGGTACTGCGCTGGGTGTCAAGCGCATATATATACAACAACAAAAAATACAAAACCAACGAACTCAACCCCCAGATGACCTTTAAATTTCTATCATGGGGCCAAGCGGTCTAGCTCAGTGGACACTGAAGTAAAAGAAGCAGGAGGAAAATTGTGTGTGTCTCTGAGTGTGTCAGGGGGAAGGGGGGGGGGGGGGGCGGGGGAGGCAACATAATTTCGGTTTAGCGATGTATAGTTAACAAGAACAGGACATAAGACAGAAACGGGCGTTTGATAATTCACAGCGAAGATCTTTAGTGTGTGAACCTAGAACTGGCTTGTTAAATTAAAAAAAAAAAATAGACACGTATGTGCCACATTTTATAATGGTAGCGAAACGCAAGAACATATTTATTTATTTATTTATTTCAAATACCCTAAGGGCCCGAGGGCATTGCAGAGAGGAGTGGGTTACAAGGCGACATCAAAAGCAAACAAACAACAATCCTAAGAATGAAAGAAATACATAATAATGAAATGCTAAAAGTTATCACTGTTAAGGCATTGTTTAAAAGCGATGGAATCGTAAATGGATGCCACAGACGCTGGAAGGTGGTTCCATAAGACCGTGGTCTGAGGTATAAATGAACATATGGTTTTGAAGTGCACGGGACTTTGTTCTGGGCTCCCTGAAATGGTAGCAGTAGTGGCGGGAGCGCTGGATTTTGCTGGCGATAGGTGAAAAAACGAAGAAGCAGGAGATTATAATCCCAAAACAGAGGTTAGACGATTGTTGCATGTGGTCTAGAAGAGCACGATTATACACAAAATCTGGGGCAGATAATTCAGCGAGGAACGGAATTTGTAGCCAAATTTAAAGCGGAGGGATGGGGTTTGGTAAATGTTTACGGGCTACGTGGCGCAAGCCACCGCTTCACTCAAAGGGGAGAATGCAACATACCAACCATCCATTCATAAATCTATGCCAGAAGACATAAAGTGCTGAAAGTGCTCTAATCGTCTATGTCACAACGCAGGTTCGGGTCTGCTGGATTTGTTTTAGGTTCTCAGATAAGCTCTCAAGTTTGTGTAACATGTGGTATTATACTTGAGTGTTAGTGCCCACCCCACGGTTAGTTTCAGAATTCCTCCCAAGTATGAAAAAAAAAATTTTTCTTTTGCTTTTCCTACTAGAAATTATACACTCACGAATGTTGAGCATGAGAAATGCACCACCTAAAGACACCTTTGTAGAAACACTACATTGCATTTAGTATATTAGCTTAATTACATGCATTCTTAATCCCCAAAAGCGATTCAACACACCCTATATTTGTGGCCGCTATTATCTACCGAGTAAGCGGAACAGATCGTTGGCTTAAAGGCCGCTTTACAGAATCGGTTTCTGCCGGGCAGAAAACCGGATCCCAGCTTCCTTCTTTACATTCCCTCTCGCACACTTCTCTCCTCCTATTCCCATAGGAGCGAGCCTCTCAGCTACTCCCCATAGAAAGGAGGAGGGTCTCCCTCTTTCTCGAATGGAAAGGAAGAATTGAGGAAGGGCTTTGTCCTTTCTGCTTGTTGGTCCGTCTTTAAACGCTGTCGCGTCATAAGCTTTTACTATAAAGTTATTAGGGAGGAAGACAGCTTTCGCTGGAGGTGGCTCGGTGTTCGAATGCCCTTGCATGGCACGTGGAAGCGTGGCCCTGGCTTGGGCCTCACTTACTCGTTCGCTCGCGTCGGCGTAGCCTCGAAGTCGATACAATATACTTTTGTCTCACCTTAGTATGTACTAACTGCGAAGGTTGTGCAAGCGCGAACGGCTAGCTTTGACTGCCTTGACTGGAGCGCTCGCTGCACGATCTCTCGTGCAGGCGCCGACACTTAATCCAAAGCAACTATCTCGCGTTTTTGGCATGCACGGCTAACAATAGTCCAAGCGAAGGTGAGACAAAGTATACACCCACATTTTATCTTTTATTTTGCGCGCAGGAAAACGCCACTGTTATCGTGGTGGACTGGTTCGAAAAAGCCAAGGATTTCTATTCCGATGCGAAGCGGTCTGCGAGGAATATGGCCTACGGACTGGCGTGGCTCGTGAAGACGCTGGTCGAAGCCGGTGCTCTCAAAGTGTCCAATGTGCATTACATCGGTCACAGCCTCGGGGCCCAGGCGGCAGCATACTTCGCACAGAGCCTCAAGTCAATCTTGGATGGTCAAAAGATAGGCAGGATTACAGGTGAGCCAACTCTTCTTTCCTGATTACATTTGTCACACCAAATCAAATCACATCTTTACGGAGAACTACTTGATATATTGAATGATTCATTGGTCTTATTTTGACACAGTTGTCAAGGAGGGTGGGACAAAAAGGTAATCAAAATCACCTGACCGTGTCCCAACCACCGGTAGAGAAACAGGCCGCAGGCCTACAAATTTGAAACAGAAAAAGAAAGAATAAGCCCTTAACATTTTCTTAAAAAAACAAAAACAAATTTTATGAACCAGTTAATCATTGAAAATGTGTTTGTTGGGGATATGTGCAATATAATTACAGCAGAACTTTTCAGTTTTGTGAGCAGTTCTTACTCAGGGCTTTAGACGTTCCCTATATAGTCAGCCGTGTCATCATCGGTATATTATTCATCATCTTCATTTTTGCAATCATCACCATCGGGCGGCTGAAAGCCAGTGTTGGTGGTAACGCATCAGAAGTAACGGCGTTGCCCATCAGGTTAGGTTTTTTCGGTAACGTAGTTTAGCACTCGTTACGTTTTTGAGACAGTAACAGATAACGTACTTAGGCTGCTTATTTCGGGTAACGGGTAACCTAGTTACGTTTCTCGTTGCATCGTCTTCCCAGAGCCTTAAAAATATCCACTTTATATATATATTTTTTTGTGTTTCTAGGTTTCAAGTCATATTACTTTTTGTTGCGGGCCAACAAAATTCTGAAGGCGCACTCTTCGCTGCTCTTGCAATGCAACATAGATATGGCGTTTATGCCTACCTGTAACGTCAAAGCAGTAAACGTTTTATTTCATAAATAAAGTAGCTCAAAAGAGCGTGCATTACCTTTTATCCGTAACGGTTACCGCCTTCCTCTATTTTGAGCTAACCCGTAACGTTAACCTGTGGCCTCTATTTTGAGGTAAGGTAGGTCGGCGACTTGTTACTTTTATTTGGATGTAACGAGTAACCTATTTCGTTACTTTTTTGGGGTAACGCCTCCAACGCTGCTTGAGACAGCCCAAAATATTCTAATCTGCTCTGCGTCCCGAACGGTCACTTTAAAAATAATTTCAAAAATGAACGCGGTTTTTATTATATAAGTGGTGGCAGCGTGCCCTTTTCTTACAGTATCATTTCAAAGCCGGGCAATTCAGTGTTCATACAAACCGATATGGTTCCACCAAACCTTCGGAAAGGGCAAGAATAAGTCATACTTCCTTTTGGGCTTTGTTCGCAGCGTTTACTGGAAACAAATCGAAATATGTCTAAAGATGTCGTCTTTCTTTCGAATGTGAGATTTCGTTGGACATTCAAAATGTGTTCTTCGTTCTCTTTTTTTTTTTTTTTTACTTTTTCCTCCGCAACGCATCTTTTGCGTCCCCCGCTCAAGCCTTCTTGGCGTTTGTAGACATTACTTCCCAAAAGGTGCAGAAATTGTAATAAAATTATATTGTACCGTATTTTATGCTGACGTCCAGAATTTAGAGAGCACATGTAGAGAGAGAGGGCTGGTTACTGCATGCGCATGAGCGCTTCTACCATATTTTTTTAAACTCTTGTCGCACTTGGTGTAGAATAATACGCTAAGGCAAATGTCACTTGAAAAAAAAAATTTCCTTAGTAAAAACTAGGTGCCCCTAAAACAATCTCACACAAAGAACATGTTGGCGAATGCCTGCCTCATCACCTCATGAACAAGACTGTATAATACAGATATCATTATTAACATTATCTCTACTTCTCAAAAATTGTCAAGTATTTTAATAACAAACAATCCGGAAAAGAGAATTCCTTGTACAATCCGCACTTGTAGATAGATCGCACCACGCAACATTTAAACTTTTAAACATGCGCGATTCCCGGACTATAGCCTGGAAACGACGGTAAAGCCATCGCTTCAAGGCGACAGTCCGCTGATATAAGAAAGCTTACAAAGTTCACAACTTCTCGGCGAAACGCGGTTTTATTCGCGAGGCATCTTGGGGATGCAAATAATTTAAAGTAGTTTTACATTACAAACGGTGTTCTCAGCTTTGCAATATGAGTGAGGCAAATTGTACATTGACTTGCTAATTTAGAATCCCCGAATTGTTGTAATATATATATATATATATATATATATAGAAAGTGTTTTTTTATTCTTACACATTTGTTTAAAAAAAACGTGAAAGCTACACTTATGCGGTTTCTGCTGCTGGGTTATACGGCCAGGCGGACATTATGTGGGTGGCTAATCTTTGGGACAAGACGGCTAATTAATTAAAATTCGTACTAACTTTTTAATTCATGGAAATAGCAATATGGTTCCAATTGAAAACCTGCTGAGCATCATCCAAAACCCCTAAGTCAGTAATTTTTAGAAAGACTTTGAGCGCGTGAGAAGCGCAGTAGTGCGCTGAAGTTACCACTCGTGGAGCGATTGCAAGGCTGGGGCAAGATAAGAGACGGAAATATTGCGCGGGCGCCATACCGCAACCGCTAGCCTTATACCTGCTCCACGAGTGGTAACTCTAGTGCGCTACTACGCTTCTCACGCGCGGAATGTTTTTTCCGAAAATGACTGATTTACTGATTTAGGGGTTTTGGATGAGGGTGAGCAAGTTTCTAATTGAAACCATATGTCTATTTTAAAAAGTGAATTAAAAAATTTTAATCAATTAGCCGCCTTGTCCCAAAGATTAGCCATCCATATAATGTCCGCCTGGCCGTATAACCCACCTGCACAAACCGCATGAGTGTAGCTTTCAAGGCTTTTTTTAAACAAATCTCTAAGAATAAAAAAAAGACACCCTGTATATATATATATATATATATATATATATATATATATATATATATATAAACTAGAGGTTACGTGCAGGGCAATACTACAGTAGAGTGAGAGATTGGAGTTGATGTACGTGACATTTTAAGTACTATGTTAGTCGTAGACTGAATAGAGATTTATACGCCAGGATTTTAGAATGAACCTGTGTTTTTCAGTATGAGTGCAACAAAACGCTTCTACTTTAATAATCAAGGGGCTTAAGAAAAGTATCCAAGCATACGATTTTTTTTTGCTAACAAAACATTCAGTGTGAGTTTTATTTTATAGGAAAGTTGTATATACACTCTTTAAATTATTTGTACAAGGAGGCGTTTTCAAAAGCCTGTTCATAGGCGAAAGTTCAGATGACTTACATTCCCAGGGGAAACGCACTATTTTCAATAAACTTTCTCTTTCTTGCATCACGTCAAGAGCAACTAGCCTGTAAATTATACTGGACTATTAAAAAAAAAAGAATCGCGTAAAGCATTCATTGGCTTACAGAACGCGACTTTTGGATTGGCAAGTCGTAAATATAAACCAAAAATACAAAAATGTACAGAATGAGAGATTTGCGGCAAACCAGGGTTAATGGGGTGGATGGTGAATAAAGGATATTTGCAGTTTCAAAATGTTATCAGGTGATGAAGTACTCCAATCAATATAAATATTATATTGAACACTGACTAGGCTAACCTTCCATGGCAAGACATTGTACAGCAAATTATTAATGGTATGGGTATTGCAGTGTTTCTATAACACAAAATTTACTTTCGCCGTTTTTGTGCATACCCAGGCTAGGCAGAATTTAAAACAACCCCCCTCAAAAATTAAAAAAAACGATATAAATACAGTTTTAACCAGAAGGTTCAACCTCAGCCTTACTGCGACGTAAAAGCAAATACTCATGCAAAGTAATTACGCAAAACATTTCGAAATATTTAAAGTACTCGTATACATACAGAATTAAAAACATAGTCATAAGAAATAGCAAACGCCTTATTACGCCATCAATATAAAACACGTAAGGGAATACATATCTAAAACCACATTTTGTGACACTGCAATGATTTTCAAACAATCGCACTAAAAGAAAACGGAAATCACGTTTCGTACTTTTGACGAAATCTTAATGATTTCTTCGGTGTTCGCAAGGAGGGTATACTCATAAGTTACTCGGTAATTAAAAAAAACGCAATATATGTAATATATATATATATATATATATAAGTTATATACCTTAATTAAAATACACCTTGTTTAGTGCATGTTTTTCGTACATTTGAGGTTTCTCTTTTTCTACCTCAATTCTTAAGCTTTTATCGTTGTAATGCCCAATTAATATTAAATACTCGTGCAGTTTAGGACATCAGAGTATACCCAATCCAATATTTTTATCAGTGCCCTCTACATTCTAATACTGCCCCCATACGCAATGTCATAAGCAAGTTTCTTGAGGAGCGTGTGTAGGCCTAGTTTCTTATTTTCTAGGTATTGACTATACACGATAACACCGTATTACAAACACGACTTACTATATCCCGTTTCATTTTAAATGCAGACGCAGCCGACGCTACGACCTGATAAGACAAGTCAGAAAACGCCCGAAACGCGCCATCGTGGTGTTTGTCATGTTTCTTTCCATGTTTCATTGTAACTGAAGCAAGCATGTAAGCAAAAAAAAAAAAAAAACATAATGACTTTGCGCTTTCCACGCTGCATGTTTGTTCCCATTAGCCCGTAGCGTCGGCTGTGTCGGGAGTTATGCGCGAGACACATGTACGACGAAACCTTCCGATCCGACGTGCGGACTGCCGGAATGACCTTAGGGGGGAGAGGGTTTTCGTAGCATCGGAGAGCGTTGAAAACCCTCGCCTCCGACCGTCGTATTGCGCGGTCGGACGTCGGATCGGACGGTTTCGTCGTACATGTGTTTCGCGCTTTACGTTGAAACTAAGTCTAGGGCCACATAAACCGTATATGTATCATTCAGCTCACACGCACTTTTTAAACGAGAAAGGTAACACCCATTTTGTTAAAGAACTCCATTGGCTGGTTTTATAAAATATTTTTGGAAAACATATACCTAGCTACTTTGCCAATTGTTCATTGGGTCAAATCAAATTGGGGGGTTTTACGTGCCAAACCAACGTTGGGCATCTGGCAGGCCCCAGCGGAGGACTCAGGATTAATTTGGACCA